CCCCCCAGCTCTTCTGTACGTTAGCAATAAATTCTTTATCACACTACTATGACTGCTTACGAATTTGGAGGCGACTCGATTACCACAATTCATCATGAAATGATAGCAAAAATCTTCTAAAAAAAGAAGCCTATGAAACTTCGATAGACGAAATCGGTTGACTTTTATTTGCATGACTATTATATGGTTAACGGAAAGGAATATGGCACCGTAAAACGATAATATCGTGACCGATGGTTGATGCACAACATCTATCGATAGTGGTTTGGAAGCAATCTTCAACCGAAGCAGATGTGGCAGTAGAGAAGTGTGGAGGCGTTGGACTGTTGCCTCAATAGGCCATGTGAGTTGGAAGTAGTGTGCCAGTGTTAGATGCAACGCTACTAGTGTTGGCTAGACGCCCTCGAGCTCCAGGCTATAGTGGTCATGGTAACAACAAGTTCAAGTGCCTATTTTATTGTAGGATTAGTACGAAATTATGTATAAGTAAAAGCAAAATCGAATGCTCAATGTTGACCCTACCGCTAAAAGACAATTCGTTCCGTAATTGCCAGTGTAAAGACGCATCTTTTCTAGGGTATGAAATGTTCTCCAAGGAAATGGATCAAGACTTGGAACAAATAACTTTGTGTTTTTTTCAAAAAAGGTCACAACGCTTCAATGGGAGAAAGTGGTCGAAGAACAGATATCACGACATATGTCCTCAGGCGAAAGCTTATTGTCTCCACCACACGAACCAGGCACTAGATCGTTAAATTCGAAAACTACATTAAAAGCGGAACTAAAACCGGAGCCCAGAATCGGTATCTACAAAAGTTGGGATCGACAAGTGCGTTGACGGTCGTTGGAGGCTCGGGTAGGTAAGGGACTCATTTGTGATTGGATCTTCTCATTTAATTACTCGGAGAACAGAGCGCACAAAGCCTCAAATACTTTCGGGACATTGTAATTCATCACTTTTTTCATTCAAAAGGGAAGACATTCCTGAAGTAAATACGGGAACCAGGGACCATAAAAGAGACTCAATGGAGGAAAATATTGAAATTTTGACATTCCGAGCTGTATCTGCTCTTTTTAATGAACTGTTGCTTAGAATGGACTTGAAGAGAGAACAGTGCAACAACTTAAGAATCTGGAATTGAAATATCATGTGAAAGTTAGGTACTATGATAAGCATAGATGATATTGTGGGCACACATGAGGAAACGGGTGATTCGCCTATGAAAAGCGTAGCAGAATGAACCAAACTGTGTATCCGAAAGTGCTTAGTTTCAAACTTTGATAACTTTGGTTCAAGCATTCTCATAGTATCCGCCTTTCGAAGATTCGTGAGATTCATGATCATACAGATCCAGCCAATCTGCACCCTGGGACCAACAAGGAATACATTGTTCCACATGTGTAATCCGCCTTGCGACTCTGCTACCAGGACTACTTCCAGATTGAAGTTTTCTGCAAGCGGTTTCAAGGCAAGAGTACTTTCTCTACAGCTACGTCGTTTTGTGTAATGCGACAAAAGGGGAGCACGTATGACCTGCTCTTCAACAAATTGACCAGAATCCCTTCTTTAGTATATCCCTGGAGCGCCCAACACCTATGAATGCAGCTTGAAATCGACAAGACATGGTGACTTTAGTGCAAATGTGCTTTATATTCCCTCAAGCATTTCCCTGTTTGATAATTTCCGCAGAGTGCATAAGCACGTCACTCTTGACTCCTGTGTTCGAAAAGCGAAGCCATTTGGGGAGGTGTCTATTCAATTACAATTATTCAAAGGTTCAAGCACTGTGTTCATGTGTCCATCTTAAATAGCCGGTGATTAAGAGAGGCTTCAACAATAAGCACAGCGTTACAGTCAGCAAATACAAGGGTAAAAATATTATCGTATGTTTTTCATCAACCACCCTGATTTTAGCGATCAGAATTTAACAATGAAAAAATATATCGAGGATCATAAAGTGTGTTATTAAACCAATTTACATCATGTCAACCCATTTATTCTAATTTGTCTCATTGGTTGCCGTGTCCTCGAACCACGATGGATATCCTTCAGTGAGTGAAGTTGGAAAAGTGCAAGGTTTGTCTAGACAGTGCTGAGCTTCCATATGGTTTTACTTCGATTGACGAAAAATTCCAACAAAAAACGCATCATCTATAAAGTACCAATCGAGGGCTTTATCCCCTTCTAACTCTGTTCGGTGGGCATAAAACTGTTTAGGAGTCCGATTAACGCACCCATGGCACACTTCAAGTGAGGCATGGAGGTAAGCCAGCGTCGGAACGATTCCAGATGTGCTGACATTTTCTCAGGACTCTTGCCTGATTCTTTTGCCTCCCGCTTTATGCATATCGATAGTAAAGCCTTTGTCCGAATCCCAGAACGTATACTCCACTGGTGCTGTTTTGGCATCTATCAGGACTGATTGAGTTACGATTCAACCTTCATTTCTTCAGTAAAATGTGCAGGCGCAATCACAATTCTAGCGAAATTGGCGAAAAACACAGGCATACAATTAGCCTCATGAGCAAAGGTCAGGGCAACTGAAACCTTGAGGTCAGAGATTCTGCGCCTGCCTTCTCGCCTACTTGCGTAACACGGTGGAAATCACAATCGTTTGCTTAAAACTTTGCAACAGAAATTAGAGCATCTTAATTTCAAGTTATTGTGGGCTGGGAAATCAAGAGTAGAGAAGGTATCATTCGGCGCAATTCTCTTTCACCTGATGATGTTTCAAAACAGCCCATAAGACTTGCGCGAGACCTTCACACGGATTGTCGACACCTGTGTCACAACTTCACCTGTCTCACAAGGATGAGAGAACACCGTTTTAGACATCTTCTGTGACTCCATCTCATAAGCACCGTGCATTTTCATGCAATCCAGGAGGACTTGCGGAGCACGCTCCTATCCACGCCAACCTCGATAGGTGTCGATTGCACATCTCAGTAGGTGCATCTCCTCCTCACCGACCAGCCAAATCGGCTGCCACATGACGGGCGGAAGGCGCCTTGTGACGTTTTCGCTGTAGCAATGCATTGGATTTGTGCAAAAATGTGCAAGCGGTTAGTGGCGACTCACAACAAATGTGTTCAAAACATAGAAAATTAACATGTTATTTATTTCTTTTAACGGTTATCAGTTGCATTGAGCGCTTTTGCCATTTATAAGCGTTATCTAAACATACAATTCATGAAACGCAGTTACTACTTCCGCCTTTGCACGTGTATGGCCAGAAGAGGTCTTTGCCTGCGCGCCGGTGTTTATGCCAATCTCAAACTTCGGCAGGTTTTGGCTAATGGAACGTATGGTAGCCTCCGTTTCGCCTTTTGGACAAAAAGTAAAACAAGTCATGATTCGTTAACCACCAACTCCCTGTGTGGGCACAAGCCGAGGTGGATTAGATTTCTTTCACTAATTGCACTGAAAAAACGGCTAAAAGTTGTATCTCCGTTGCTAAAGTAAATGTGGGTGCACTACTTCTCTCCTCTAATGTATGACGCGCATGCTGACAGCACAGGCCAAATTGTTTTACCAGTCTAATGCTATCTGACCAAATTATATGCGCAACATCGGTTAATGGCAGACAATTGAAATGCATGCAAAGCATCGAGGAAAGCATTTAGTGAGGAAACTATGAGATGCGAAATCGGTTGTCCACTCACCCCAGATTCTATCGAATGAGCCTCGCGTTCCTCCATATTCACTTGGCATCAAATCCCTCAAACCAGGAATAGCTTCATATGCGTTCGACATATCCTTATCAGCTATGATAATCTTAAAAGCAACGGCCCATTTCAAGAGTGATTTGAAAAACATTGTAATGCCTATTGGAAAATAGATACCTTCCCTGCATTGCAATCACTCAACCACCTTGTACCAATGCGATGATCTCCTTCGAGGAAGTTGGGTGTGTTGCAGTATACAAATTGTGTTATGTGCAAGGGTAAGGCGTCCTAGAGTTGAAGGGTAGTGGAATTAATTGGAGCTGACGTCAGGCAGTGCAGCTGAAGCAATTTTACTTCTCAATATAACGTGAAAATACCAATCAATTCAGTGGGGACATTTAATTTCTACAGAGAAATACAGTTTCAAAGTATTTGCTGCGTTTTACTGTGATCTCAGATGAATGTGCGCGTGTAGCATCAAAGGTAAAGCAAAAAGTCGCTAATTTAAGCCTCGATTGAAATGCAATCCTACTTTACGTTAGCTCGAGCACGTCACTTGGCTTACACCTACAAAGCGGTCATAAAAGCGCACTCCACTTAGGCTACGTCATTTGGAGAATCGTGGTACAGCAATTTTCGCAAACGCCTATAAATCCAGCACGCAAAGATCTACCATGGCGACCGACGGATTGTCTTACCTGGAAATATTGCGCACCAAGCTGACACGTGTTGCCCTGTTCCATTTCGCTAATTCGTTCTTCCGTCATGCCTTGCAAATCCACTATAAAAGCAACCCCACCAATTTGAACTCGTTGGTCCATCATC